AAAAAAAAAAAAAAAAAAAAAAAAGCAGTTTGCAATCCTTGGAGAAAACCAGTTCAGCAGAGCCAGGACTTCCTGTTTCCTCTAGAAGTTGGGCACTAGAGTTGCAGATTTGTCTCCTTCTTGCTGAGTTTGCAACTGTCCTGTTTTCCTGGCAGGACATCTGTGCAGGGCTCTGCCCCAGCCCCTCTGGGTCTGTGCGTGAGCACTAGACTGACTTAACTCTTCTCTGTCTAAGAACCATGTGAAGAACTGGTGAGGGGATAAGATGTGGAGAATAGGCCTCCTTCCTTTACGTCAGTACCCTATGTCTCAGTGTCGGAAAAGATTGCGTTTTACTTGGTGCAACCAGCAGAATTATTTACCTAAACTAAGTAAGAAAAGTGGGCTCAGGCCTGAGATGGGTATTTATTTGGGTTCATCAGACTTGGGTCACAGAAAAGTGATGCAGTGCAGTGGGGAAATGCAGTAGCATCTAGGGCTTGTGTTTCACATCTTGACTTTGCTAATTATTAGCTGTATGATTTTCTATTAAGGGCTTAACCTTTCTGAACCCCTTCTTTTCCATGTATAAAATGGTAAATATTAACAGTAATACTCTCATAGAATTGAGAGATGTAAAGCATAGAAAACATTCACCATAGTAATGTTATTATTGCTGTTTTAGTTAGTGCTGTGAATTTGAGCTCTTTCATACAGTGAAAAGCATTGGACTGGGAATTCAGACTGGTCTTCTTACCTTGAGTTTCAGCTCCTTTCCTGTTAAAGTTATCGACCAGCCTTGGTTAAAATCATACATTTTTTTCAAAGTATTTTCCCACTGATAAAATGAAGGCACTATCAGGTACCTCACTGTTTTCAATGAAGATGAACCAAAGGAGACAATGTGTGAAAGAATCCGTACATCTCATAGTACTTGTCAAGATGCAGTTGATGTTCACTACTTGTACGTTCTCACTGGAATGGCAGATGCTGTTGGACAGCAAAGGCAATGAACACTTCTGGGCACAGCAGTTGGATGGCTTGAACTGGACAGCCCGAGACATCCTGGCCTTTCTGGCCAAGCACCCCAAGGATGTCCAGAAGGTTAATGGCTCTGTGTACACCTGGAGAGAAGCTTTCAACGAGACCCAACAGGCAATCCAGACCATATCTCGATTCATGGAGGTGAAGATCTATTGTGAATATTGTTTAGAAAAGGCTTATGGCTTTTTCTTGGAGATGTTGCAATAAGATTAGAGGTGGGGAAATCTTGGAAGTAATGTGTAATCTCATTGTAGCAGTATCCCTCAAACCTAACACAGGGATTGGTATAGAAAAGGTATTCAGTCAGTGTTGCTTGATTGAGGAAATAAACATCCATTGTCTTCCAGGTTTTCCTATGTTTTGATATCGTAATGCTTAATGGCAGCAAAGCATTCTCCTAAAGAGGCATTATTCATAAAACCAAATTCAGAATGGATTAAATTTTTAAAATTTAATCCTAAAAATTGTATACTTAATAGGGATGAATAAAAGTCTTTTTGGTCTGTTTACTGAGTTGATTACTCTGACTCGATATTTCAAAAAAATAAGAGAGGAAAGTAAGATAAAATCATTGCTTTTCCTTCTTTCCCTCCACAAAAGTCAATACAAATAACTTAATCTGTAAATACTGCCAGCCTTTCTCTTAAATTCCAGTTAAAACTGAGATGATCCATTCATTCTGTGGCAAAGACTATACAACTACTCTAGGGATTAGACCTCACGTAAATGACCTTATACGGACCTTATAGAGAGAGGATTAGTTGTGTAGCTCTTGCCTCTCAAGGTCCGTCTTGGCTGCTGCATGTCTTCCTGCCACCTCTCATGAAAGTCATTCTTCCATCAGTGTGTCAACCTCAACAAGCTGGAGCCCATTCCCACGGAGGTCCGGCTCATCAGCAAGTCCATGGAGCTGCTGGATGAGAGGAAGTTGTGGGCTGGCATTGTGTTCACTGGAATCACCCCTGGCAGTGTCGAGCTGCCTCGTCACGTCAAGTACAAGATCAGAATGGACATTGACAACGTGGAGAGGACAAATAAAATCAAGGATGGGTAAGTTGAATCCCACCACACCAGCCCAGTCTCAGGAAAGTCAGGATCGGCTTTTCTGCTGCGATGCTTCATTTGAACTAATAAATTGACAACTATTCCAACAACAAAAAAATCATTGGTGGCATTGTTTTGATGAAACTGGCATATTCATTGCTGGGAGCTATTATTTCAAAGCTCATAAAATGTCAGTATCTTTCACATTTTCATTCAAGAGAATTAATCCCAAGGAATTAAGTCAACAGAAAAGAAAAGCCTTTCAGTTCTCTGTGCCATCGCTTCTCAGCCTTTTGGCTAAGATCAAGTGTAGTTCTCCGTGCCAGCATTATCCATTTTTATGAAAAGGGGCAAACATCCACTTTAAAAGGGAATGGTTAAGTAAATTTTGGTATACCCATTTGATGCAGTGTTAGCCACTGGAGGTGGAGAAAAAAACCCCAAACCAACAAGTAGTATGTTCATTTAGATCATTTCTACTTAAAATATGCACACATGTCAACTGGGACTAGAAAGTGAGACACAGATATAAAGAGTTGTGGGATTGTGGATGATTAGATATTTTAATTTTTATTCTATGGTTCCAAGGAATGTTTAATCCCCTGTGGTTTGCTTGTAGGTACTGGGACCCCGGTCCCCGGGCTGACCCCTTTGAGGATATGCGCTATGTCTGGGGGGGCTTCACCTACTTGCAAGATGTGGTGGAGCAGGCAGTCATCAGGGTGCTGACAGGCAGCGAGAAGAAAACTGGTGTCTATGTGCAGCAGATGCCCTACCCCTGTTATGTTGATGACGTGTAAGTGACCAGCAATCCAGCATCTTCAGTTAAATAGCCACTTAACACCTCCAGGTGGAATGTGTGTGGGTATGAATGAATAATCTGAAAATAATGTGCCAGATGTGGGAGGTCCACAGTTTCAGTCACACTGGAGACAGACACAGATATACATACTAGTGATCTCCCTTTTTTCTTATCCATGGCTATCAACACTTTTATTTTGCACACTCCCCTTTCGATCAAAATTTACCCAATCTGCAAGTTCAAAATGTGTCTTGACAAACACATGCAATTACGTGTATGTACATAATCCCAAACTCAGAAACAATAGCTTAGACTTATAAAAGTATATTTCCTATACGATTTTTCACTTCCTCTAAGTGGTTGTTAAGCCAAAGGTAAACTGAACAAAATTTCTTTATCTTAGATTTTTTTCAGATAATCTTTTAATTCTTTGTCACTAAGCTACTGAATTCTAATTGTGGGAACAGTGTTTTTGGACCTTGTTAGGTTTCTTGTTAGGACAAATGGGCAGAAGTGTAGTTACTGCAAACACCTCAAATATGTTTGTGTCTTCTTCCAACGTGGTGTGTGTGTGTGTGTGTGTGTGTGTGTGTGTGTGTGTGTGTGTTCATGCACACACATGTGCATGGAAAGAGCAGTGCTTCTTCTCTCTTTGTATTTGCTCCATTTTATGCTGAACAACTATTTCCTTGTATGGCCAAGTCTAGTTTTTTCCAGGTCAACAGATAATTGTTTTTTATCTTCAAAATTATTAGCCAGAATTTTCCAAAGGAAGACTTTTCTGAAGACTCCTAAGCCAAAATTTACTTCAGAAAGGATCCCTTAAGATCAGGGTCCTGGAGTTCAGAGGCACTAAGAGCCTTTGCCTGTTGTCATGTAGTAAGTACAAAAATGGTAAAACTGGGATTTAAGCCTCAACTTTCCAGTCCAAAGTCCAAGTCCCACTTTTGTTGCAAAGCTACATTTCCTATGCAAATTTGGAACCTGAGGTATTACTGAGAAGCATGACCTGAAGTGTGTTTCTGCATACAATAAGAATTAAAACTGAGCAAATCAACCGGGGATGACTTTGGAGATACTGATTGTAAGAGACTGACTTCAATGTTTTTTAACTTTAGTTTTTAGTACCTTAATGTAAACCTCCTTTAGCTTTATCTTAGTGTCATTTCACAGTTACCTAGGTACTAAAGCAGTCCCTCAAAGACATTTTGCTTGGCAGCACTTTATGAGTTTAGCTTTTATCTCTGTGTCAGACTGCTTATGAAGCACTTGGAAACCTGTGGATTTTGAGTCCCAAAGGCCTGCCATTAGTGGCCCAAATGTAGAGCTTCCTCTGGCATGCAGGCTCAAAGGACTTGGCCCAAGAACCTGGCTTACAGTGTCTTTCTTTCTTCCTCTGCCTTTCTTTGGGACCTCCAGCTTCCTGAGGGTAATGAGCCGGTCACTGCCCCTCTTCATGACTCTGTCCTGGATTTACTCTGTGGCCGTGATCATCAAGGGTATCGTGTATGAAAAGGAGACACGGCTGAAGGAGACCATGCGGATCATGGGCCTGGACAACAGCATCCTCTGGTTCAGCTGGTTCATCAGCAGCCTCATTCCTTTGCTTGTGAGCGCTGGCCTGCTGGTGGTTATCATGAAGGTAAGGCCACTACACTTGCTCTTCTGTGCCAGGGAATTCCTGAAGAGCCTAATAGTAGCCAAGAGAGGAAAAGAAAAAAAGCCACAACTCTGGAAAAGAAGGGGCCTTACATGTCGTGTCCTTTTAGAATTGTAGAATTGGGGAAAGTGAGGGCCAGAGAGTGACTTGTCCAGCATGAACCCAACTAGTTGGTAACTAAGGAGGATTAGAATCCAGGGCTCATACTTTCCAGATAAGCATACTTGTAACTGTGTCACACTATTTACATGACAATGTAGCTGTTCCTTTCTTCAGATGTATTGGGCTATGATTCTTCCCAAGCTGCTAAAAAACACTCATCAGATGGAGGACATACATCATTGCAGGTGAAGTTACCTGGGAACAGAGGCTGAGGAAGAGTTTGGCATGTACCCACATGCCAAATGTACCCACATTTATTAGGGATTGACACCTATGGGAGGGATGTTGGAGGTGCAGGGTGAAGCAGACAGAGGAGCAGACCTGGGGTGCATGGCCGGCCCATGGGACATTCTGGAGACCATACAGCTTGTTGTAGTTGTTGCTTATTGACTGTATTGCCCAGCTCCTTCTGGTTTTCCTAGGCCTCCCTACCCCAGACCCTCAGATATCGAAAGTGGGCTGCCCTGGAAAGGGTGTGCTCCAGGCCAGGCAACTCTCTAACTGTGACACACCCTGACATGCAGACACATAGAGTCAGTTTACTGGCTGCCAGTTATAAGCCCTCCCTTAAAATGGGCTCAAAGCCATGAAGTTCTGTGTTTGCCCCATTTGATAATGTACTTTCCAATTATTTTCCCCAAATTATTTTGTGTAAAGGTGTGCATCATGTAAAAATAAATGCTTTGGGGGAGGTTACAAAGGGGTAAGAACTAACATTCAGTTTAAAACTAGCTATCACCTGTTGTAAAGGAGCACTCACTGATGCCAATCACGGTTTCAAGCACATCCTGTGTGCTACCTTGTCATCCTCACTAAATGACTCATTTACCACTCAAGGAAAGAAGGCTAAGGAAGGCAGGCTTAACTAGGGCACGTAGCAACATGGAAGAACGAAGATTTGGTGCAGCCCTTGTTTAAAACAAGCCATTCCTCGTGCTCAGATGTCTGACTGTAAGAGACTGAGCCCTGTGACTGTCATGCAGTGTGTGAGAGCTGCTCCTAGACAGCTACATGCTATGGTGGCTTGCTGAAATACACATAGAGACTAAGTTCAAAATGTTCACAAGAGTCCGGGTGATTGTGAGAATGAAAAATTCATTGTTTTCAAGGGGGAAATTAAGGATGTCTGGCCATATTCCTTGGCTTCTGGAGAGAAAAGTTGTGTGGGACGTTATCTGATGCAGCTCTTGGTGGCACTATTCATACTCCTCATAAACAAGAAACCAATCAAATTTACCTCTCTGAGAAACAGAGCAGAATTGTCCATTGAGATAGAATAGAAAGCTCTAGACTCTGTTCTATCCCAAATTTTGCCATTATTTTTCTAAGTCATCCTAAGTTATTTTTCTTGGCCTCAGTTTTCTCATTAGAAAACTAAAGAGTATTATGCCTCTGAATTGTTTCTGAGTTGAATAAACCCAACTTTCTTCCATAGATCATGCAAGTGAGCATGTGGTTGTCAGAGCAGCACATTTCATGGGTCTCTTCCTTTCCAGATAGGAAACCTGCTCCCCTATAGTGACCCCAGTGTGGTGTTCCTCTTCCTGACCATTTTTGCCATGGTGACCATCGTGCAGTGCTTCCTGATCAGCACACTCTTCTCCCGGACCAACCTGGCTGCTGCCTGTGGGGGCATCATCTACTTCACCCTGTACCTGCCCTACGTCCTATGTGTAGCATGGCAGGAGTACGTGGGCTTCACAACCAAAATCTTTGCAGTGAGTAACTCTGGTCCTTCTGCAGCATTGCAGTCACAAACACCCAGGTGTTTGATCTCCCCTCTGCAGCCCATGAATAGGAGCAGCAGTTTGAGCACATTAGATGAGAGAGTCTTTTTATGGTGGGACTTGAACCTCAATTCTAGATTCTAAGTTTCTGACGGCAGATATTACGTCTTATTAAATTATTTACTTTTACTCCCTTTGATAAATGCTGGCTGGATTAAATTGAATGGATTTTTTTTCCAAAGATCAGACTATACCTTGAACCTTGTTGGGGATAAATGGCATTGTGGGACAGCTTTAGTCGACAGGTGTTATCTCTGTCCTTTATCTCCCTTCTGTGTTGGCCACGTTAAGCTCACTACAACATCATGGCTGCAGATAGAAATGAAATCTCCAAGGTGGCTTGTTCTTTACTCCTGTATTCCTTGTGCTCAGTACAATGTTTCAACTGAGTAATATTTTCTGAATTAAGCCAAACCGAGGAGCAGATGCCCCTCCTTACCCCAGATTCCTCCCATGGATGTCTCATTCCCTTGTACAGAGCAGGTCTGACTTTTAAGGGTGTGAGAGCTCCTATAAGCATAACTTCCAGCTGTCCCTTGGGTCACTTACAAGGAAAGCTAATAGATGCTCATAGAGTGCTCCAGATACCTCAGTCTTGCCCTGTTGATATCAGCAGCCCCAAACAGGCTCTTCTGATCATAAATGCTCACTGGTTGAGTAGGAAGCCTAAAAAGACCTTGATTAATGTTAGTATGCAACAGGGGAAGCAGAGAGGAGACGAGATTGCTGAGCCTTGGAGCATCTTAGGCAGCATAAAATTCTAAAAGTTTTACACACTGTCGTGCATGCATTTTTGAAATTCATGTGCATAATGAGTGGCTATAAATGGAATCATTTTATATGCTGCAGGGGAACCCACTCCCCTAAAGGGACTCTGTAGGTGAACACTTCCATATCCTATGATTGATCTACTTTACAAATTCAAATTTCTCCAGGTGGAGTTGACATTAGAAGTAATCAGAAAATGAGACAGAGGAATAGATAAATGATTTTTGCCTTTTCTTTTCCCAGAGCGTGCTGTCTCCTGTGGCTTTGGGCTTCGGCTGTGAGTACTTTGCCCTTTTTGAGGAGCAGGGCATTGGGGTGCAGTGGGACAATCTCTTTGAGAGCCCAGTGGAGGCAGGTGGCTTCAATCTCACCACATCCGTCTCCATGATGCTGTTTGACGCCTTCCTCTACGGAGTGATGACCTGGTACATCGAGGCTGTCTTTCCCGGTATGCCGAGTTTCCACCCTGCTCTGCGCATCTGCTAGCGAAAGATGATTTCTGACCGCAGAGCTCTTCTTTCTTTGTACCAGGATACAGAGCTCTCTTGAAAGTGGCTTGAGCTTTAGACCCATGGCAAACAAATCAGGAAAAGGGAGCAGATCCTGAAAGTATAAATGTTACTACCACTGTGGCACTTATTACTTGAGCACTGTCTGCCACACACTGTGCAGTATTCTATATACTTTGGCTCATTTAGTGTTTCAAAGGACACGTAGAGATAAAGAGTATAACCTATAGTTTTCAAACGAGAGCCGTAACTTGAGGAAGTTAAGTGACTTACCTGAGGTCATGAGTAGGAAGTGTTAGTGCTTGGGGGTGTGCCCAGTTGGGTTATGCTGGGTCAGTGAGCCAGGAGATTCCTGTCAGTGTTGATGTGGTTCTGTAATTCTGTGTCCCCAGGGAGAGCACCTCTAGGGGAGGTTCTGTTTCCTCATTACAGGTTATGAATAATACAGTGTATTGGCTCTGAGCCCTTGCCTGTGATTTGAATCAAATTATTATGCAATAAAAGTTCATTTTGAAGTTGACTTGACCAGGGCAAAGATGAGCCTACCCTGGGATAAATTTTCATAAGATCTAATTCCAGGAGAGTAAGGTTTAACTCTGTTTGGTTTACCTTGTGTGGTTCTCCTCTGAGAAGACATGTATGAAATGTGTATCACTTCTACCTGAACTTCCCTCAATTTTTCCTTGCAATGAATATGCAGTCTCAAACCTGAATTCACGTTTCAAGTCCTTCAGTTAATGACTATATGATGTTGGGTAGGCTGCTTATCCCTAAGTTTGCTCCTCGGTCATCTGTTAGGGGATGGTACCTATTTCAGGGGGTCGCTGGCAGGCCTCAGGGAGGTGCATAATGTACATTGTCCGTGGTAGGCTTCAACAAAAGGAGCTCCCTCTTGTCTTATGTCCATGCCAGTCTGTTCTTTCTGCAAAGGGTATGTCAAGGAGAGGATAGATCTGGCTGGGAAACCTCAGGGATTCCTGGATGGTGGGCAGCTGTGATCACATCTGTGCTTTGCTTTCAGGTCAGTATGGAATTCCTAGGCCGTGGTATTTTCCTTGTACTAAGTCCTACTGGTTTGGTGAGGAAAGTGATGAGAAGAGTCACCTTGGTTCCAGCCAGAAGGGGGTATCAGAAAGTAAGTGGTGCTGACCCATCTTCACCTGAACTTAGTGCTGCTGCCCCTGTTGACTGTCAGAATAAATGACTGTTCTCACACTTCAGGAGATTTTAAAGCCATGCTATACAAGATCCCAGTAATGAATGTAGCTGTACTGTCTGCCTAGAATGCACAAATTAAAAAAAAAAAGCCACGCTAGAGATAGAGGAAGTATATATAGTCGTACTTTCCAAATTCTCCCTTGCTCTGTGTGTCCAGTGCGACTGACTTGATGGGGAATCCTAACGATCACTGAGGACCATTTCCTTTATTTTCTTGGCTTCTTGGAAAGTGTCTTTTGATCACTATACCTTTACCTCCAACATCTCATGCTAACATGCTTTCCTAACAAACTAACATGAAGAAGTAACAAGGACCATGAGGCCTTCTGCCTGCCTTGTCTTGGCTGGCATGAAACAGATGCTATAGAGCTCAGCCTCTATTTCTTAATGTTCTTACCTGTCATTCATGACCAGAGACCTAAATCGCTCCTGGCTCCTGACTGCAGGTAGAGATGTCCACACTTGGGCAAAGGTTCTTCTTTCTGGTCTTTCTTTGTGCTCGATATGGCTTCCTTCCTAAGTAGTTAATAGATCCTTCTTCTGCTCTATTCTGTGCCCTTCCCCTTATCGCTAGTGGTGAAAGTGTGTTGCTCCTTGGCATGGGCCCTTGTGCCTACCATTTCACCTCTTCCTGCTGTTTCAGCTCTTCTGTTTCAGTCCTGTTTCAATCACACAGAGCTTCTCAGATGTCGTGTTCTGCCACATCTCTGTAGCTGTGACTGTGTTGTTCGCTTTGCCAGGAGAACCTTTTCTCTTGCTCACCAGCCTTCTAACCTCTTCTCACTCTTCAAGATCTAATTCATTGTTTCCTCCCCAAGCAGCTCTCTAGATTCACCTTTCCCTGAACTTTGTGGCATATAAAACAAAACAGAAAGACTCCATCCAGCCTTTTCATTTTGAAATAATTATAGACTCATAAGAAGTTGCAAAAACAGTTGTGTGAAGGGGTTCCTTCAAATCTTTATTTTGTTTCTGCAGGGGTAAGACCATGTATAACTATATATGTATAACTATAGCATAGTATCAAAACCGTGAAACTGACAGTGGTACACTTCACAGACCTTCATATTCCTTCAGATGCTACATGTGTTCATTCATGTGTGTGTGTGTGTGTCTCTGTGTGTGTCTGTGTCTGTGTGTCTGTGTGTGGGACTGTGTGTCTATATGTCTATTTAGATAGGTTCATATTAGTCTATCATATGTGTAGATTTATGTAACCACTGAGTCCATTGAGATGAAGAACTTTTCCCTCACCAAAAAGCTCCCCTGCCACTGCTTAATAATTACATCCACCCCTTTTCTTTCCTACTCCCTTACAGTGGTGAACCACTCATCTGTTCACCATTTCTGTAGTTTTGCCTTTTCCCAGACAGAGTGTTGTGAGAATGGAACTAAATAGTAGGTAACTTTTCTTACTCACGTTTTCCCCCTCAACGTAATTCTCCGAGAGTATCAAAATGGTGTATACCAGCAGGTCCTTCCTTTTCCTTGCTGGGCATTATTCCATGTTCGGTTGTACCACAGTGCCTAGGCATTTTTTAGACATGTTTTAAAAATAGCTAGTATCTTTTTTTTTTTGGTACCGGGGATTGAACTCGGGTCCTTGTGCTTGCAAGGCAGGCCACCGAACCGCTGAGCTAAATCCCCAGCCCTAAAAGGTAGTATCTTATATCTTGTTTTTCACTTCTTCATTTGACTTAAATGCTCTTTTGTCATTTAATTCCTGTGCCCAAATAGACCCTAAATAAGTATTTATAGCTTTCTCCTTGCCTGTAAAACCAAGGTGCAGTGGCAAAGTCATATCTGAAGGTCCAAGTGCACACCTTTTGTTTATACCTTGCTCCTCAGTATTTCCTGTGAGTTCACCCTGGTTCCTCTCTTTTGTCACAGTCTGCATGGAAGAGGAACCCACTCACCTGAAGCTGGGTGTGTCTATTCAGAACCTGGTGAAGGTTTATCGAGATGGCATGAAAGTGGCTGTGGATGGCCTGGCACTGAATTTTTATGAAGGACAGATCACCTCCTTCCTAGGCCACAATGGAGCAGGAAAGACAACTACCATGTAAGAAGAGGGTGTGGACCTCACAGAATCTACCACAGGGAGGCTCTCCGCATACTTAGGAATTTATACTTAAGGAAATAGAGTTGGCCCCTGAGGCCAAAGTGGAGCACACGAGGAGGCAATGGTATAGAGGTATAGACGCAGCCTCTGGTCCTGGCATGTGTTCCAAGTGCTAGTTTTTGCTAGGTGTTTTGCTAAAAGAAGCTGGGCACTTTTACTGATTGCTCTTTGTACTTCTCAGACTTCTGCAGTGTTCTTAGAACACGAGGCCATCACAGCTCTGAGAAAGGGTACTCTGTAGGGCTGGTTTGATCAGAACTGTGAAGCAAGAATCTGGAAGGAAAAAAAGATTAGTTGTACTGCAGGGAGATGGCCACTTGCAGGAACTTTGTATTGTCTCTGGCAGATGTGAAAAGCACCTGGACATCTGGCTCCACTTGCCCTCCCTGGGACCTGTGAGGATCTTATGCTTGGCAGCTTCAGAAGGGAGCAAGTGACATAAAACAACAGAGTTAGCCTTAGTAGCTTTCAAAAGTATGGTCTCTTAGCCACTCCAGAGGGTAGATCTTCAGGAGTGACATTATTTTCTTTTATTTATTTGAAAACATAAAATCAATATATTATGAACATTGCTGGGTATTTTTTATTTTTTATTTTATTTTATTTATTTTTTTGGTACAGGGGATTGATCTTGAGTCCTTGCACTTGCGAGGCAGGCAGTGGAATGCTGGGTATTTTTTAATCACACTAAAAGCCCATACCGTCTAATACAAACATATTTATATTTGAATAATTCATTCTGCTTTGGTCATTTTTCATTGGATAGACTTACAAAATACATGCTTTAAAGTGCACTTTTCACTGCATATTGGAAGTTTTATTTTTCAGATGCTCAGACTACAATTGCCATGTCCAACACTTTGGCTGAATCCTAGTTATTGGCTAAAACAAGACTTGTCTTGTGGGGGGCCTCTGTTAGAGTCCTTTGTGAAGGAATCAGGGCGGGGGCTGGTATCCTGTGCTCTCCCCTCCCTGGCTCTGCACCCCTGACTTCTGCACTTGTTAATTTTGTCCTCAGGTCAATCCTGACTGGGTTGTTCCCTCCCACCTCGGGCACCGCCTATATCCTCGGGAAAGACATTCGCTCGGAGTTGAGCACCATCCGGCAGAACCTGGGGGTCTGTCCCCAGCATAATGTACTGTTTGACATGTGAGTACCAGCAGCACATGAAGAAGAGCAGCCTTTTTTTGGATGTGGGAATCGTGGAGTTATGGATAAAGTGGAATTTAAGCATTTTACCTCTTTTAGGGGTGGTGGATCTTACCTCCCTGGACACCTTGAAACATGATTGTTCTTTGATTTTGGGGAGAGTGGGAGGTGAACTGTAGGATGGGAGAGGTTAGACCAGCTCAGCTGGCTATTACAGATTGGAAAACAGTGCTCTCCTTGTTTTAGAGGACCCCGCTGTTCTCTGCCCTCAGACCTGGTGTAGTACCCCCCAGACCTGGGAGGGCCTCAGGGGACATGGTGTGATGGCCCTGTGTTCCCTGCTCACCACATATCCTCCCACTGAGATTGTCTTAAATGCAGAGAGGACCCCCAAGAGAAAGGAGGAGCAGTGAAAGACTTGAGCTCTGTGACATGGGGAAATCAATGCCTTTCTTTCTTGTGGGCCCCAATTTCCTTTTATCTAAAGTAAGCACCTGGGGCTCCTGGCCTCCCTGGGGTTTTCCCCTTCTCTGAGCCTGAGGTCCAGTTTGCTTTAAGGAGGCTGCTCCAGGTTTGTGCTCAGCAGATAGGACTTTGGAGTGAGCCCTTTGAGGATCTGAAATTTAAAGTTTCAACCACTTGTTGCCTGGTGACCAGGCTTGCTGGGAATAGGATGAAAATGATCTGTTACATTTCCGTTTTTATTTCCTGAGCAGCTCATGTTGTTGCTCATTGTGGTTCTTACTTGAATCCTACCATTTATTTTTTAGGAATTGATAAAGTTGGGCTGAGGGTTTAACTCAGTGGCATCGTGCCTGCCTCATAAGCCCAAGGTCCTGAGTTCGATCCCCAGTACAGGGAAAAAGAAAAAAAGAAATTGATTAAGTTCTGTTGTTGTTTTTTAAAGGCAGGAGTGGTGGGGTGGGGGAACAGAAAGATGTGCCCCTTCTCTTATGTTCTGGGCCAGGAGGCACTATGTCCCATGCTTCCTGCAGGGCCCAGAGCTGACCTGCCCCCCTGTCCCCAGGCTGACTGTCGAAGAGCACATCTGGTTCTACGCCTGCCTGAAGGGGCTCTCAGAGAAGCATGTCAAGGCAGAGATGGAGCAGATGGCCCTGGATGTTGGTTTGCCACCCAGCAAACTGAAAAGCAAAACAAGCCAGCTCTCTGGTGAGGCCCTGGGCACCTTCCCCTCCTCTTCCAACTATACACACTGAGAAAAGTCCCAGGCTGGGTTGGAGAGTAAAAGAAACTTGTCTGTGTCCATGTCGTTAAGCGGATGCCTTCATTTGTCTCACAACCTCTGTCTTCACTCGCTGTCCGGGGCCTGTTTTTCTGTTTTGTAGGTGGAATGCAGAGAAAGCTGTCCGTGGCCTTGGCCTTTGTAGGGGGATCCAAGGTTGTCATTCTAGATGAGCCTACGGCTGGTGTGGACCCTTATTCTCGAAGGGGAATCTGGGAGCTGTTGCTGAAATACCGACAAGGTAACTGCTGTGTGGGAAAGAGAGCTTTTGAGGAGTAACGCTGTGTCTCATGACTATGCTTACTAAGGCAGCAGAAATGCTTCTCGAGGGAAATGTGAAAGTTCTTCTCATAAAGCTCAGGGCAGGCCCACGATACGGAGGTAGATTTTAAGCCACTTAAAACTTGAACTTCATTACTTGGGGACCTCCAACAAGAACAAAAATGGCACAGACTTTCACATGTGTGTTATTATTATTTTACGTTAAGATCAAGATGCTTGAGAGTGGAGTGTCTTTATTCATCATTTTTGTCCCTCACTTGTGGCACTAAAGTCATGTTTACTAAAAGTATGGATGAATAAATGAATGGAGAATGGGATGGGTAGAGAAACGCAGTTGTCGGTCTTCATGGAGTTATGTTGTGCTATACTCTGGGGGGCACAGGCTTTGGAGCCAGCTCCAGCTGAGCCTGAGACTTGGGAAAGTCTTAACTTGCCTCAGTGTCATTACCTATGAAAAATAGTGGTACCTGCCTCATAGAAGCGTAAATTAACTGACAGTGCATGTACACCACCCAATACATGTTTGGCATGTAGCAAGTTCCCAGATAAATGCTGCTCTTCTTTCTATGAGGATGCAATAGTTGTCCCCTAAGTTTTGCCCTCCTACAGGTCACAGCCTCACAGGTTGAAGGCAACTCCCAGATCTTTGTTGCATGCTCACCCCTGCTATTATCCCTGTAGTCCCTGCCACTGTGATGTGTGTATTCTTCCGGCTCACATCTTTGTGTTTGTGCCTGGCAGGTCGCACCATTATTCTCTCCACTCACCACATGGATGAAGCTGACATCCTGGGGGACAGGATTGCCATCATTTCCCACGGGAAGCTGTGCTGCGTGGGCTCCTCCCTGTTTCTGAAGAACCAGCTGGGAACAGGCTACTACCTGACCCTGGTTAAGAAAGATGTGGAATCTTCCCTCAGTTCCTGCAGAAATAGCAGCAGCACTGTGTCGTACCTGAAGAAGGTGAGCTGTGGCCTCAGTACCGGGCCGGCACAGGGTCCAGACAGTCAGGACTTGTTGGCTGTAGATGGCGCCCTTCTGCTGAGTTGTGGCTGCCATCTCCCTGCTCCGTGATCACTGTGGAGTCCCATCTTCCCTCCTCCGTGGAAAGCTCAGGAGCCCTCTGATCCATTGTGCTAGTTCTGGTGAATCCTATTTCCCTTTTCCTATGGAAATACAGTAAGTGATGGCGAAGGGCCTTTGAGGACTTTATTATGTCAAAGAAAAGAGCCTTGCCAAGAGGTAAGAGCCTTGGCTACAAAATGCCCTTCTGTTCCACTCATTACATTTACATCTTATTGACCTTAACTTTTAAACTACAAAATATCTCATATTTATTAAATACTGATTTTATGCCACACAGACTCTGAAGATAAAAGGAAAGAATGTAATAGTTCATTTTTTGTTTCATTTTACAATTTTTTTACATCTGTCATCTCAAAGTACAGAGCATTCCTGGGAAGGCAATATCATAATTACTGTCCCAGATGAGGGAAATGAGGCTTATAGGAATTTGGTTTCTTATTCAAGGCCACCCAGCAAGTAACGAACAGGTGGAACCAGAACCCAATAAGATATGCTTTACTTTATACCTGAGATTTATTTGTATGTTGAAACCAGTGTACTTAATGCATTACCATCCTAACCCTGAACTTCCCATCTGCTTATTTCTATTTTATTTATTTATTTATTCATTTTTGGTACCAGGGATCAAACTCAGGTCCTTGCGCTTGCGAGGCAGGCAGCGGAACCACTGAGCATTTAAATCCTCGGTCCTTCTCTTTTTTTAAAATTAGCACTTTTTTACTCAAGTGTGGTCTGAGGAGCAGCAGCATCAGGATCCCTAGGGCACTAGTTAGAATGATAGCAGCTGGGACCCAACTGAGACCTACTGAATCAGAATCTGCATTTTAAGGAAGCTTTTAGCTGGACCAGTAGCCAAATAAATTCCATGCCTGGGATGCTTGGTGAAGGCCCCCTTGCAGCTGGCAGGCCACAGTTATATTAAATCGCTGTTTTTTGACCTCTTGCCCCAGGAAACAGGGCTTTCTACACGACACACACACTTCAGACAGAGGCCTCTGAAGCCTGGCTGCTAACCGCATGAGTCCCAGGTCAAGCTTTTTGCTCCCGTTTTTACACAGCAGAGCTTCTTGGAAGCCCTCCCGGCAAGGTGATGGCGGCTCGACCTTGCCTGGTCCCTGACCCATTCTCACCTCCTTCTTTGCCATCAGGAGGACAGTGTTTCTCAGAGCAGTTCTGATGCTGGCCTGGGCAGCGACCATGACAGTGACACGCTGACCATCGGTAAGGACTCTGGGGTTTCTTATTCAGGTGGTGCCTGAGCTTCCGCCAGCTGGGCAGAGTGGAGGCAGAGGAGGAGAGGTGCAGAGGCTGGTGGCGCTGACTCAAGGTTTGCTGCTGGGCTGGGCAGGGTGGCTGTGGGATTGGATGCAGCTTGGTGGCGGGACAGCCTAACACTTGCTGGGGAACCTGGGGCTTGGTCTGGGAGCTGACAGGGCTGTGCCTCAGAGGACTGAATGGTTTGGTGGTCAGGGAATCCCTAAGGGGGCTGGATCTAGCTGAATACTGGACAACAAGTTGAGGACCAACTCAGTGGGCAGAGACTTGAGTTCAGTGTACAAGGGGGATAAGAACCCAGGAATTAAGGAAGAGCCTTCCACCTTTCCCTCAGGTAATGCATATGGGAGACCATTGTCACTATCAGCATATGGGACGGAGACATTGACCATGGCTATCTGTGCTCAGTCCCAACAGTTGGCTTTTTAAGGGAAGATTTCTGTCCCTATGAACTCTTTGATTAGCCATCTATTAACATAAAAAGAAGGCAGCTGCCTTTGAAAGTTTAAGAAAGAGTGAAGAATCTTTTATGATTTTTTGCTTAAGTTTTTCATTAAGGAGTCCTAGGACATAGGCAGTGGACACCAGCCTTTCAGCCTCAGCATCCATCATGCACTGAATACCCATACTGTCCCTGGATTCGGTGATGTAAAAATGAATGAGATACAGTTCTTGCCCTTCCTCCACCTCCCCAGGATTTTCAGGCCAGAGATGCACTTGTAGAATGGTAAAACATCTGGGACAATGTGGTGTATAAGCATTGGGCTTCTGAGGAGTAGGCAGAGAGGAAGGCAATCATTGGCTGGCCTTACTGTGGAGACTTTGAGGTGACTGAGCCATCGTTGCACTCTGGTCCCTGCAGATGTCTCTGCTATCTCCAACCTCATCAGGAAGCATGTGTCTGAAGCCCGGCTGGTGGAAGACATTGGACATGAGCTGACTTACGTGCTGCCGTATGAAGCTGCGAAGGAGGGAGCCTTTGTGGAACTCTTCCATGAAATTGATGACCGGCTTTCAGATCTGGGCATCTCGAGTTATGGTATCTCAGAGACTACCCTGGAAGAAGTAAGTCAGACTGTCAGAATATAACAAGCTCAACGATCCCTAGCCACCAATAGCCTACAGTGGGAACAGGATACCCTGTCGGTTACTGAGCTTTTAGATCGTTAACATCTGAGTGATGTTGGCCCTCGTGAACCTCTAAGGTCACAGTGAGAGATAGCAGGACAGAAGTATTAGGACTGATATAGTTGTATTATGGCCAGGTCCCAACTGGACTCTCATCCATGAGCAGTGACCAACCTTTATAAATTGTCCACTAGGATCAGGTGATGAGCTTAATGTTTTCAATGGTCTGTTTTGTTTTAATCATTGTAGTCTTGTTTAATCCTCATAACAAAATGTTAGAATGAACAGTCAGGGATGTTGAGCTGTGATTTAGAATCAGAGGTTTTGGGGCTTCAAAGCTCATATTCTCTTTAGCACGCAGCAGTTCCTCTCGTTAGAGATACAACATCACAGATCTTGAGGGCTGAAAGGGATATAAAAGTTGTCTGGCCTGATGGTCCTCAGGCTATACTGTGCAGCGCAGTCATATGGGGATATTACTGACAATAGAAGTTGTAAGGCTCAGCTCTCATGCCTTTGACTCAGGATTTCTGGTAGTAAGGCCTTGAAGTCTGTACTCTCTTTGCATGCTTCCTACACAGTGGCCGAAGACTAATTTGGAACTCATCAGTCTCATTCAGATTCCCCTTTGATGTTTGAATCTGTGCCATAATATTTCTGATGTTGAGGGACCTGTTCCCCTCCTAACCATTCTATCTTGGATTATTTATCACAGTGCTCTCCTCCTCAAATATTGGGGGGCACACACCTGAAAGAAGACACTTGACTCATTCCCTGTAGGTTCAGAACAAATTTTCTGCTGCAGTATCCTCATGTCTTAGCTTCATTTTGAAAATGGTTGTCTGGACTGATAGCTCTCACCCCTGAGGAAACATTTTCTGGCAAAAACTGCTTCTGTCCTGAGTGACTCGGATAATGTTTTTAATAAATGTGGCTTCTGGCTTCTTTGTTTTAAGGGGCTAACATGCAGCTAAATAAATAATGCAATCAAGATAGTGATGGCTTCTGTTGTAATAATGGTGCTTGTATTGTTACCTGCTATTTTTCAGATATTCCTCAAAGTGGCTGAAGAGAGTGGGGTGGATGCTGAGACCTCAGGTAACCCTTCTGGGGGAGCTGACTGCACACTGTGGATAGCGCCTCCTGCAGGCTGTTTCAGCTCACTAGTGTCATGCCTTCCTCTGAATTGTTCCAATGCAATATCTTTTTTAATGAGATTGTTGCAGATGGAGAAGGTTTGTTTTATTATAAATAACATACAGTGTGGGATTCCTTCCTTTTGCTTCCAGATGGTACCTTGCCAGCAAGGCGAAACAGACGAGCCTTTGGAGACAAGCAGAGCTGTCTTCGCCCATTCACCGAAGATGATGCTATTGATCCAAACGATTCTGACCTAGACCCAGGTTTGTGTGGGCAATGTCTGTGTTCTATTGTTTGAACATGAACTTCCCTTTTATGTTCTTCTCAGCTCTTTCTTTTTGATGGTCTTTTAGCCAAGATGATAGGTCCCTGCAGTGTTCAAAGGGAAATTTAAAAAAAATGAGGAAAGCCACTTTTCCTTTTCTAGCACTGTATGTATGAAAGAGCCCATCCCCATTACTTCCTTCATTTCACTGAGCTCTCTCTCTCAAGGTACACTTAAAAGATGGCACCTCAGCCCTCTGAAGCCATTTATTTATTGTCTTCTCTATAAGGTCCCAGTTTCTTGTATAATCAGGTCTTTAATTGTTGAATTGATATTCCTTGGATGGGTGAGTGATTGTTAAAGAGTCACAGGGGAATTTGCTTTACAGTCAATTGTACCCTTAAACATAGATATTTTGGGTGACTATGTCCTTATGTGTGTGACTCCAAAGGGAGGTAAGAAATCAAACAAATATGATATCAAAGCACCTCATGGAATCATTAGTTAGACAAAGATTTCTGTATGATTTTTAGGAACAGAAAACTTCCAAGCCTTGGTCACTTGAGCATGTGGTTCTTATGTTCTCCTTGATTTCATAAATTGTCAATACTTAGATCATTTGAAATATCTCAGCTGTTTACCAAAAATATGCAAGATGGGAGACTTAGTTGTCATTGCGTGTTTACAAATATGTTAACCTATATACATAGAATAGTTTTTAAGAACTCATAGACTATTTTTTAAGAAATCAATGATGTCTCAATTCAAGGAGTAATGCCCAGTGATGTGTGAACACATAGCTTCAGTTGTCTCAAGACATCTTAATTTTATGCTCTCATCAAACAAGGACTAAAAGGCAGAAACTGCTACTCTTGGACCTTTTCTTGGATTTGCCATGAAAAAACCTTTCACTTGTGAGAGATACTTTTAGCTTCCAACTTAAGCTTCCAAGATATTCCTGAAGATACAAGAGAAAGGAGCATCGTTAGTCAAAAATACCTATGATAACAGGTGATCTTTAACGCTGTCTCCCTGCAGAATCCCGAGAGACAGATCTGCTCAGTGGAATGGATGGCAAAGGATCCTACCAGGTGAAGGGCTGGAAACTCATACAACAGCAGTTTGTAGCCCTTTTGTGGAAGAGGCTGCTAATTGCCAGACGGAGTAGAAAAGGATTCTTTGCTCAGGTGAAATATTCTAGTCTCTGGCTCCACGGGGTGGAGGTGTTACAGATTCTCTGATCAGTGAAGGCAGGACAGCCCTGAAGTCCAGATGTCAAGGCTGAAGCTAGACTCTCTGTATTTCCATCCCAGTTCTACTTTTTTGCCAGTCTCATATATTTTGGCAAATGACTTCTCTGTGCAATTTCCTTATCTGAAAAAGTAGGGATAATAATAGCATCTATGACGAAGAGATATTATGAGGATAAAAATGAAGTAAAGGTCTTAGAATTCTGACATTAGAGCACAAAGTTTAGAAAGACAGATTGGGTAAATTCAACTTTCATAATATGAAAGATGTTACACTGAGATGCATGTAACATATGAACTTAATTAGAAACATGGTTTTTCCCTCGATTGATTTTTCACTTAGATCGATAGCTCAGATATCCAGAGGTCAAAGTATAACTGGCAAACAAGTAAGACTCACCGTGCTAGTGCCTTCACGTTGGAGTCTACATGCTAACTTGCTTAGTGAGAAGAAGTAAAGTTATTTCAATCTGTAAAACTCAAGAAATATAGAGAGATATCTGTAGAGAGTCTTTCCCACAGACATTCTGAGTAATGCTATGAACATGAGTTTGGAACATGTGGACTTGGATTGAAGTCCAGTTCTATTATTTACTGGCTATGTGACCACAAACAAATTACTTATTCACTCTGATCCTTAGTTACCTAGTTTTTGGATGGTGATAATAAAATCAGAAATAAAAAATAGAGTAGTAATGATAATTCAATGAGATAATTCTCTTTGTAGTATTTTCCCATAGAATTATGCACTCAGTGATAATTTTCTGCTTTGAAACCAAATAATACTAAAGACAGGGATATCATTTGAACCTTCACATATGTAAAGGATACATTTCTCTGAAAAAGTGGAAAAACATTTGGGTTTACTTGCAAAGTACATACAAATCTTTACAGAAAATATATGTAGAATGTTTGAGGATTTAGGTTATTTATGCTTTTTGGTTTGATCATGATGCCATGGCTTATCATGGGAGACATTACTTTAGGGTTAATTTCATAAATAGGATCTGTATTGGTTATCCATCCTTAGTCAACGGATTACAGATGAGAAACGTGAGGCAGGATGGGGAAGTGATATCACAGGGACCACTTACAGTAGTCAGAGAACCAGCATTTGAGTCTTCTAGCTCCTGGTCCAGAACTTGTTTCCTCAGCCTTCCTCTGAGTCGAGCTGGGTTTGGGATCCTGTGTGGTCATTCTGAGTTGTCAAGGGGAATAAGGGGAGTTTCTAGCAATCTGAGTCATTCTGACATCGTTCTTTATTGTCTGAAGTTGATGATAGTCTCTGACTTCCTATTGCCAGCTTCCAAAAATGCCATGGAGGGCAGATGTTTAGTTTTAAGCTTTGTTGCATGCTTCCTAGTTGCCAAGGAGATCTTGGTGGTACTCAACTACAGGCCCAGTAATCACTCATTTCTGTGCTGGCTGATCTTTCAGGGGCTTGATCCTTGGCCTCTCCCTGATACCCACCTTTTCCTGCTAACTTCTTTTCCCCCACTGCCTGGTTATAGATTGTCCTGCCAGCTATGTTTGTCTGTATTGCCCTGTTGTTCAGCCTGATTGTGCCACCCTTTGGCAAGTATCCCAGCCTGGAGCTTCAGCCTTGGATGTACAACGACCAGTATACATTTGTCAGGTATGTGTTTGCCTTTCTGTATCCAAGGGGTGGGGAGATTTGAGCTAACTGAGGTTATTCACTAAGCTGAGAGCCAGGGGAATGGACTCAAGAATTCCACCATGGAATGGATTTCATTGGCTGTGGCTCAGGCACCAAATACAAGCCATGACAACATACCAAGAACAGCAGTGAACTAACCTTGAAATAACAGCCTGGTGCTTTGTTGGGCATTTTAGCCCCACTGTTGTGTTCAGGAACAACTATGTATGTGTTTAGGCAGAATAATCTGCTCTCACTAAAATCTATGACTAATTTATAAAATACTTGGTTTTTAGAGCTATGTTTTAATTTTGTAATCAAGCCACAGGGCTTCCATGAACTATGAAAATTTAGAATCCCCAGGTTCTTGTTTTCTGCACTGTATAGTTCATGTAATCCTTCTCTATTCTTTTTAAGCTTGGGATATTACCTAGTGTTCACCTTTAGACAAGAATATTTTCTATTCCATAACAATCATGTGCATGAAACGAAAGGACAGAGGAAGTTCTGTATCTCATTTGGCAAAAATTTTGTAGATTTGTAGGCCTGTAGATTGGAGAAATGCATCCGTGACCCAAGAGATGCTGTATTAGTCACTTTTCTATCACTGGGACACAGTGCACTCTTAGCATAAAGGAGAAGCTTAGTTTAGCTCATGGTTTGCGAGGATTCAGTCCATAGTCAGATGGCTCCAAAGCAGAAATATGGAGGAAGTGTGTGGCAGAGTAAAGTTGCTTAGTTCATGGCAGAGGGGAGCAGAGCAGGGGATAGCACCAGAGAGGAACAGGGGAGAGACCATATATAATACCCAAGGCCCTGCCTGCTAGACATACCCTACAGTAGACTCTACTCATCTGCTAGGTGTTTCTTAATCCAGTGAAGTCGACACATCACAGATGCTTTACAAAAGAAAAAGGAACTACAATATGTATAAACATGACTTAGTTTCTTTTTCTCTAACCCATGCTTTCTTCTTATATAGTTCAGGTTTACTTGATACTTTCCCATCCCGGCTGCTGACCTTCTGTGGCCCATAGCTGTAAAACATGGCATGTGTTTGTTGTGACCTATGCCCATTATTGTTTATACTTTCTAATTGTCTGTGTAAACACTCCGTCAATGAAATCTGCTTGACCTTTCTTGGAAAGTCCTGGTTGTCTGTGCCAAATGGATAATTATGAAAGTGTTTTTCAACTACTGGTCTTTACTGAGTTTCTGTATGTCAAAATAAAATGCACGCGTGCGCGCATTTGTGTGTAGATGCATATACATATACACTTTCATACACGTTACTGATTTCTACCTGCATTTTTGGGGAACTTGTGTTTTCTTGGTACTTATTATATGCTCAGGGTCTGAGCTCCTTAGAGGTAGTTTCTATGTTTTGTTCATCTTGGTTTTAAGAGCCTGGGCCCCAGAAAGTGCTTTATGTGGAAAGAGTGTTTTATATGGAAAAATATTTCTACTTTCTAATTTCTGTTTTGAATCAATTACTGATCTGGCTGCCTCCTGTGTACCCACAGCAATGATGCTCCTGAGGACATGGGTACCCAGGAACTCTTGAACGCCCTCACCAAAGACCCTGGCTTTGGAACTCGATGTATGGAAGGAAACCCAATCCCGTGAGTGCACTTTAGCCATAAACTGGCCTCCCGTGTTTGTAACCCAGTTTGATTGCAGATTCACTGCATTCATCAACTTCATGCCACATTGTAACTGTCATCATTCACCCTTTGAGTCACTTTTTGTTTAAAAAAAAAAGTCAATTAAAAAAAATCCAACATAGTAACCTAGTCAAACAATCTAGGAAAAAAAATTGAGTCCTCTAACATCCTGCAAAGAAATTATTATAGATATTCATTCACTCCTTTAGAACATTAATACTTAATAGCACTTTATATTTACTAATCAAATGTTTTCCCCTTCTTCCACACAACTTCTACTATCCTGTATGATTTGCAGTTTTGCTTATTAGCTTCTTCACCTTATCAACCTGAAAAGATTACAATTGATTTGTATAAGAATGGACACTTTCTTTTTTCATATTTTATCATACTTTGCTTCAGGATGTTTTTTAAAGAGTAGGCAATTCAATATAGTAATCTACCCAAATGGTTGTGTGTGCAGAGGAGAGCAAGTTAGGAGATTACTATGGTAAAGACGGTGGCGAGGTGAGGTCCGTGAGAGAGGTGCAAAGGATAGAAGTGGCTCCAGGTATCCAGGCTGAGGAAGAGTTTGCACCTGAAGTTGTTAAAACCACAGCAGTGATCTCTGGGGAATTATTGAAAGTTGGGAAGGTGCTGGTGAGCAGAGAGGGGAAAAACTGAATTGCCAATTTTAAAGGGAAGACAATGGCCCTGAAAATGTTAGATGAGTGAGCATGTTAGCTTTATATCCAAGGTGCTGAGAGATTCCTGAATGGATATCTTCCATGTACTTGTTTTTAATCAGTGCTAAATAGCATGTTAGTCAGCTTTCTGTGGCTCTGACAGAATACTTAAAAAATAGGAAAAGATTTATTGTGACTCATGGTTTAGAAGGTTGTATTTCATGGTTATTTGGCTCTTGTTTTGAGGTCTAGGGTGAGGCAGACATTGTGGTGAGGAATGTATGGTAGAACAGAGCTGTGTGTCCTAATGGTGGCCAGAAAGTAAAAAGAGAGAAGAGGTCAGAGTTCCAATATCCCTTCAAGGGTCCATCTTCACTGACCTAACTTCTTTCCACTAGGCCTCACCTCCTAAAGATCCACCACCTCCTATTACAACTATGAGCTGAGAACCAAACCTTTAGCATGTGAGCCCTTGGGGGACATTTAAGATCCAAACCATAACATAGTTACTAAATATTTTCTTAGTACTTTGCTTATATTTAAAGGTGGCAAATCCCAGGACCCGATAATTGCTTGCCCCCAAAATAGGCAATGAGGGTAGAGAAGGACACAGACACTGCCTATCTGGGCTTCATAACTCTTGAAATTCTACAAGGTTTGGAGGCAAAAAAGTAGAAGGAGGAGGTAAGATGATCATACAGTTAAACTTGAAGATGAACTGAATCAGTTCATGGATTGGACTGAATCCAGCCTAGGAAAGAACTGTAGGAGCCAGAACTGTGCTGAGAGCAGGCCCCCAGAGACAATAGAAGCAGGTGCATGACATGTGAGCTTTCACAATATTAAGTCTAAGCACCACTAATCTTCTGTTGGTGGCAGTCTGAAGGGAAGGCTTCCACTGCAGCAATCCCACTAAAATTCAGATATTAGGTCTACGAAAAGTGGCAGTACTAAAGGGCTAAAGGAAACCTGCCTGGGATTCTTCTTGGTCTTTGTCTTACTGGTTGTCTTTTTTGACAGTTTTAGGTGTGAACATCAGGAGGGCACTTTGTATTAGTTTCACTTTTAAGAGGTGGGCAGTGAGGTAAGGGTTGGAAAAACTTTGTTTGATTTTAAAAACTCAAATATAGAAGAAAAATATAAAGACTGTGGCTCTACCTAAAAGTGTAAAATTTTGGAACTCTTAGAAGAGAAATGGCAAATCATTTTATATTTTTATTTTACAAGTGGAGAAATAAGCCCTCAGAGGTTGAGGAACTTACTGTTGTTCTCATAGTAATTTCGAGTTCAGCTCAGAGACAGAAGCCTTGTGTTTAGTCTCCAGGAATGCTTGCAAACAGCTTAACTCTTCCTGCACCAAACATTCTCACCCTACTTATCCCCAAATTCTCTACTTCTTTTAGAGCAGAAATTGGATCTTGCCACTCTCCACAGGATTTTCAGCACATTGAACATCAAATCCAGACTCCTTCCCAGGCCTGTTACCTGGGTCCTGCCTCGCTGACCTGCTTCTCATTTCCTGTCACCTTTACTCTGAGCTCACTGTGTTCCAGCCATACTGCCTTTCTGTTGTTCCACAAATACAGAAACTCACTTCATTGTACCTGAGTTTTTTCACTACTTCTGCTTATTCTTTCCCCTGAAAATCTTTAGGTAGCTTGTTCTGTCTCATCCTCTCTTATTTTAGTTGCACTAGTGTCTCTTCAGGAGATCTGTTCTCCCCATGCACTCTTTTTATTCTTGGCCATGTATAGATGATTTGTTTAGTTGTTTTCTAATTCCTTGGGGATATGAAAACTCTGTGAAGGCAGAGTGTGTCTTGTTCATCAGACTCAAAGATGCAGAGCTGTTCTGGCAGATAGTAGATGTTCAGTGTGTGTTATGTTGACAAATGTTGGTTGACTGGATCCAGTAGAGTTCAGTATATAAACATTTAGGACTTGTTTCAATTCATTTACAATCTCCTTATCTATACAATGATATTACAGTTTCCTGTAATATCTGTTGTGAGATCAAAAGAGGTCGTGCTCATTTTTTCCAAGTGGTAAGAGATAGGCGCATGTTTGTGGTTGTTAGAGAATGATCCGGTGCTCGGAAAGCAACAAGAGAGGTCAGGTCCACTTCGGTGAGCCCACCCTTCATGTCCTCCCTGTGCAGAAACACACCGTGCTTGGCAGGAGATAAAGAGTGGACCACTGCCCCAAATCCCCAGACCATCACGGACCTCTTCCGAAAAGGGAACTGGACAATGCAGAACCCTTCACCTGCCTGCCAGTGTAGCAGTGACAAAATCAAGAAGATGCTGCCTGTGTGTCCTGCGGGGGCAGGAGGGCTGCCACCTCCACAGGTGAGTCGCTGCTCAGTTTGACTAAAGAGCTAGTGCAGGGTGGGCTGGTGGCATCTGCTTCAGAGCCAGGACTCAATGAGATGTATTGCAGCATTGACTATATTTCTTGTCCAAGGGAAAGCAAATGAATTTGAGGGAATTGGATGCCTATAGTAGTATAGTAGTAGTGCCATGTTACATGCTATGACAGGTCCAGCTTCTAACTGTATTCTGCCACACCTGAGCTTGTGGCCTTCAACAGGCCACATGAACACACTAAGCCTGTTTCTTGAAAACAACACTGGGATTCCACCTTGCCCCACAAAGAATGGCTGCTATCAAGAAATCAACCAATAACTAATGTTGGTGGGGTTGTGGGGAGAAAGGAGCCTTTCTCCATTGTTGGTGGGAGTGCAGACTGGTGCAACCACTATGGAAATCAATATGGAGATACCTCAGAGAGCTGGGACTAGAGGTTCCATTTGACCCAGGTATCCCTCTGCTGCGTATCTTTCTAAAAAGAATTAAAAGAATCATACTATAGTGATATATGTGCACCCATGTTTATGGCAGCACAGTCTGTAATAGCTAAAACTTGGAAACAGCCCATTGGCCCATCAGTTGGAGACTGGATAAAGAAGATGTGGTTTTTCTATAAAATGGAATACTACTCAGCCATAAAGAATGAGAAATTAGACTCATTCATAGGAAAATGGATGCATAATGAGGCCATACTCTTAAGTGAAATAAATAAGTCAGACATGTGTAAATACCAAATATTTTCTCTGGTGTGAAAAACTATAATTGTACATAAGATCCTAATGATATATTTGACAATGTGAAATAGGAAGAAAAGGGCTAAAGGTGTAGGGAAAGTGGGAAGGGTAGGGGAAAGGAAATAGGGGAAAAATATGTATTTATAAACCGGGAAGGGAGGAGGAGTTGAAGGGAGAGCAGGGACAAGGGGAAAAAATGAGAACCAAGACCTGTCATGTAAAGGTACAAGATCCCAAAGATGAATGTAACTGTACTGTATACCTAAAATGTACCAATAAACTCAGTGAAAAAAAAATAACAACAACAATAAACCTCTGAATTAGTGAATTTGGGCCAGAAAACTTCTGTGAGTCTTAACTCTCACATTCTCTGAGATTCTCAGTTTGGGAGGAGATCTGAGTTGATTATTTCTTGATAAATGTCAGAGAGAGGCTTGCTTTTGATAGTTCTCTGCTGCCTTATCAGCATCTTGGTTGTAGGGTGAGGACAAACAATTTCAAATGGGTGTGGCAACTTATAAGGGGTCTTGGTTTACCCCTCTAAAATAACAGTCAATGTAGTCATCAGAAGACATTAGAACTCCAGAAGACTAGCATAGCTTGTGATGCAGCTCCCTCAAATCTCTTGTGACTATGAAGATGATATCTCATTGTTTTATTGTTTAGCTATTCAGAATAATTTTCTGGGAGGATCTTGGCTTGGTATAAGTGCAGTGCCAAGGGGAAAATGAACCAGGTCTTGATAATGGTTGGCTGAGGGTAGTGCCTGGGCCCTGTGGTCAGGTTTCCAGTCAAACTGTGGTACATGTTTGAAGAACATGTGTAAGTGTAGTCCTTAATCTGTTTTCTGACTCAGTTCTTTCCCATAAAGACATATGTGCTTGATTTTCATGTGTTGACAGAGAAAACAGAACACTGCAGACATCCTCCAGAACCTGACAGGAAGAAACATTTCCGACTATCTGGTGAAGACATATGTACAGATCATAGCCAAAAGGTGACTGTTTACTAAACTTGGCCCATGCTTTATCCTTGTGGAGCAGAGGAATTAAAAGGCTACAGATAATGAACTGGAGTGGTAGAGATATGCATGATTATGACATGATGGTTCTTTTGCAAGTTTACAATGTATCCCAAAGTAGAAAAAAATGATGAGACATATTGGGAACATTGCATTGAGGAAGCCTGGTCTTGAATGGAAAGAAATATGCATTCAAATTGGAATTCTGCCATTTACCAGCTGCTTGGCCAAGTGTAAATTGTTACTCTTTTAAAGCCCTTTAAAGTTTGTATAATATAATATCAACATTGCTCTTATAAGATTGTTGTGAGTGGGGCTGGGGATTTAGCTCAGTGGTTCTGCCGCCTGCCTCGTAAGCACAAGGTCCTGAGTTCAGTCTCCGGTACCACACACACACACACACACACACAAAACAACAAAGATTGTTGTGAAGATCAAATGAAATGGTACATGGATACTGCCTCAGGGATGGATTCCATGATAATGTGGGGAACTCTGGGAGGACTGCGTAGCCTGTCTTGACTAGAGAGCTATGGAAGAGCTTTGTACCTTCCTGGTATATAGCAAGATAATATTGTCATATGTCAGTCAATGCTCAGAAGGTGTGTGCTCCATTTCTGTACCGTCAGCTTGCTCAGATGGGGTTAGGACCTGTTAGGAATTCTCAGTGACTTTCGTTGACGAGCATGTGCTGGAAGGGTACTGTCTGTGAGTTTCCAAGAAAGAGACATACCCTTTCCGAAGTCATTCTCAATTGAAGTATTCTATCGAATTGAAGAATTAATACAGTCCTATCTCCGTTTGTAAGGTGGATTTTAAATTGGTTTAACACAAAGTATGATTCTCATCTAAATAATAAGATTAAGATAGGAGATAAGACATGCTGAGAATGGGCTCCTTTTCTACTGGAATGGCCCTACTGGAATGGCCCTACAGTGCCAGCCTAGTCACAGGATTATTTCTGTCCCTTTTCCCCTCAGGGATAAAGTTTATTCCTTTTGCATATCCACTCCTTTTGTATCATCTGAAATAGGATCAGTGCTTTCTAGAACTGATTTTTTTGTTTGTTTGTTTCTTTGCCTTAACTTTCTGCAGCTTAAAGAATAAGGTCTGGGTGAATGAGTTTCGGTAAGTTGATCTCTCCGTTCAGTTTCCTTTACACTTCTGGTCTTGGATGGAGGGCGGTTGTTGGTCTGGAAACTGCTTACTACTCACATACCTACTCTTAGATGCACCTCTCTATGAGGAGGACAGAGGGCCAGCAGAACCTGTGGAGCACCTGGGGGGCACGGAGAGATTTAAATTAGACTTGCCTTGGAATTTTTGCCTTAGCATCTCTGCTCAGTGCCCAGCCACCACTTCAGAGGCTTCTAAAGTATTTACCATACTGATGTCCTTGAGGGGATTTGGAAAGCTCTTGTGGGTCTTTAGGGACTTGAAGTAAGCATGGTGTTGTGATGGGTTACCTACCCTAGGTATGCTGCCCCCTAAATCATATTCCCAGTAGCTCCGAGGGGCTTACAGACAATGGTTCAGGCCTTTGACTTGAGATCAGAAAGGTCTTAGAGGAAATAAAAGGAATCCAACCCATTTATTTCAACCCTTTTGTCCGTCTGGGTTTTGAAGAAACAAGTGAAACTGGGAAGGAAGCATCTGTGAAGCCAATTTATACCTCGTGCAAAATGAGAGCCAAATGAGACCTCAGTGACTGCCCTGTTATTACCGAATCCCACTTTTCCTTTCTGCCTTTTCCCCAGGGGCCAGGGTTCCTGGAACTCAGGGCACAGCCAATGCAGGCTTCTATAGTGGCCCTCCTGCTAGGGAAGAGACAAGCCTGTTTATAAGCCCTCCTGTCCCTCACCACTTGCCCCGAGTCCCTGCTTGCTTTCAGGCCAAGTTCACCTCTGAGCCTCCAGAAAGCAGGGACACCAGTGAAATGAGTGATCTTTCTTTCCCGGGTGTCTCAGATATCACTCTTTGTAGTGACGTGCAGGCCATCACAACTGGGCGGTGGCTCTGAGAATTAAGTGGTTGCTAGAAACCATGAAAGGAGGCTGCAGTTCAGCCCTGAGTCAAATTTTGATACAGGTCTGCATAAGAAATGGGTCTCCAAGCAGCTTCTCCATACTTAGGAGGTGTCTACTGCTGAGTGGTAGCGTGCTGCATGCTGTCTGGGTTTTAATGTCAGGCTGTTCTTTTTAGGTATGGTGGATTTTCCCTTGGTGTCAGCAATTCTCAGGCATTTCCACCGAGTCAAGAAGTTAATGACGCCATCAGGCAAGTGAAGAAACACTTGAAACTGGCCAAGGTAGAGTATCCATTCTGAGATGTCAGATAAGTGAGCCTGGAATTGCTGGGACATGGGTGTAGTGGGCAGGTAGATCTGAACACCAAATCACTCATTATTCTGAACATTTTGTTTTTTATTTGTACCAGGGATCAAACTCGGGTCCTTGTGCTTGCAAGGCAGGCACCGAACCACTGAGCTAAATCCCCAGACCTGAACATTTTGAATATGAAACCATGATTGACATTCAGTGACCTGACTGAACTATACAATAAATATTTAAAAGTCTTAAAAGACCAAAAATGAATTTAGAAATTTAAAAGCTCTCAGAACAACTTAGTTTATAAATGTAACCAGCGGGTAAACAAATTGGGCTTCAACCACACTTCTCTGAAACAATCATTTGCTAAACAGTAAATGAATTATTTTCATTTTTAAGCTGGTAGGTGGTTGTTCAGGACCCAGTAAGCACACACTTCATTTCTTTGTATCTCGGGTTTCCCATTTTGAAGTGAGAGTTGAGGACTTTGGGTGACAGGGTCCCTATCCCTGGATAGCAGTGCTAGTTCAAGTCTGTATCTCTGCTTCTGAAACAAAGGCCTTTGTGTCTGACACATCTGCACAAAGTGTGGTGTGCTTCTTGGAGTGATGCTAGGAAAAGACTTTGAAGAATCCTCACCATCTGGTTACGTACAGGCACGAGAACTTTGAAGCCTTGAGTCACATAATTTCTATGTGATTCCTTCAGTGCTTGTACACTGACCTGTAGATTAGTGTACTGTAGATTTCCAGGTGGTTCTCAGGAAGCATTTATTTAATGGCTTTAAATTTAATCTCAGAGAATGAGGTAGTGATGGTATTGCTCTTCACAGGCTTTTCCTGTGGTTGGCAGATTTCGTACTTAACTGTTGTCCCTTGCCTGTGTGAGCCATCCTAATTGAGGCAAGTTTCCATTGTTTGTAGGACAGTTCCGCTGAACGATTTCTCAACAGCTTGGGAAGGTTCATGATAGGATTGGACACCAAAAATAATGTCAAGGTAAATCACTGTTTGTGTTCTCCTAGCTTCTTGGTAAATAATAATTCTTACCTTCCCCAAAGTATTTTAATCTCAAGGGAAAGTTGACAGGGGAAATCATGACAGAAAACAGAGCTAGCATGGTGATGTAATCCAGAGAATTTCCATTTCCACCAGACTTACAAGGTGAACCATTGTGACTTTGACTAAAGTTACTGCTTAAGCCTCAGTTTCCTGATCTATGAAACAGAGTCAGTCATCATGGCTGTCTCCTAACAGTTGTGAGGATTAAGTGAGTTAAAGAAATGAGATCCTCAACATAGTGCCAGGCCACATGGTGTATCAGGTGTGCTATCATTTCTTTGGCATGTCCTCTGACTACAGTGTTGTGTCTTAGTATGGGACTGGAATTTCTGTCTGAGTTTACATGCATGTTTTATGTGTGTGTACCCATGTCTGAAAGTGTGGTTTGGGAACACTGCTTGTACCTGGTGTGTTTTATTTCAGGTGTGGTTCAATAACAAGGGCTGGCATGCCATCAGCTCTTTCCTGAACGTGATCAACAACGCCATTCTCCGGGCCAATCTGCAGAAGGGAGAGAATCCTAGCCAGTATGGGATTACTGCTTTCAATCACCCCCTGAATCTCACCAAGCAGCAGCTCTCAGAGGTGGCTCTGTAAGTGTAGCTGTGTTCTCCTGGGTGGGGTGATTAGAGGACAGACTGTCGGGGGATTCATGGAGTGGGGAAAGGAAATATGAAGCTGGTCGTAGAGCAGCAGCTGCAGAGACAGTCACATTATGTAACCCTGGCTTGATCCAAACTCTGGGTGGAAATGCTCGGACTATAGAAGAAAATGACACAGATACATAAAAAATTATTAAGTATGTCAAATTCTTATAAAGTGAATTAAAAATTGAGATACTAAAACTTGAGATACTAAATAACTCACCATTTCTAAAAACAATAACAAGTTTCACTTGTTTTGAAACTCTTTGAAAACTATGTAATATGCTTTTAGTAGTTTGTTTTTATTTCCTAAAATAAATGTGTGTTTTAAGTTTAAAGCTAGGATGGTCTTTGAAATCATACAGATATGAGTGTAAATCTGGTCCCTAAACTTTCCAGATGCATCATATTAAATGACTCACTTCATGTAAATTACCAACCCTGACACCCAGTGCAGAGTTGATTATTCAACACGTTAGATCCCCTTTTTATAAATGAAGCATGGTACAGTTACTATTTAAGTTTAATGCCTGTAGAATATCAGTGTAGGACATTAAGGTCTTTATAGTAAGACCTTGCTTGATAGGCTTATATGATATCTTTTAACAAAAAGAATCTGGTGGTAATTTTGTATGTGTCAGATTGGTATGCTACATCCCATTGTTTGCACATTTATTTATAGCTATAAAATTAACTCATAGTTTCATACTAGTGTCTCTTCATTATTTAGCTTTCAAGCCACATCAGTCTTTTTGTGTGAAAAATTAAAAATATACTGCTCTTACAAGGTCAAGAATAGTGGACAAAAATAAATGCCCTTAGACTACTTTCAGATTTCCTTCACTAGTTTCATTGTGACAGTGGGGCAATGATTTCTTTGTTTTTCAATACTGGGTGTAGAACCCAGGGATGCTCTGTCACTGAACTACATCTCCAGCCTTTTCTTTTCTCTCTTTAGATAGAGTCTCACTAAGTTGCCCAGAGCAGTTTGGAACTTGCAGTCCTCTTGCCTCAGCTTCTCTCAGTGCTAGGATTACAGGCATGCACCACTATACCTGGTTTAGTCTGTGTTTATAATCTCAGTGAAGCCAGTGTTGCATTAGAATTATTAAGGTTAATCCTTTTAACCTAAAAATGATTAATCCACAATAAAATGTATTTGGTGAACAGATATTTTACCCTGATTGTGCTTCAGACGTGTGTTTCCTCATGCATGTCCCCAACTGCATCAAAGACCCCTCTGACCTTTATTGCCTTTTTCTTTCTAGAATGACCACATCAGTAGATGTCCTTGTATCCATATGTGTCATCTTTGCAATGTCCTTTGTTCCGGCCAGCTTTGTTGTGTTCCTGATCCAGGAGCGGGTCAGCAAAGCAAAGCACCTGCAGTTTATCAGTGGAGTGAAGCCTGTCATCTACTGGCTCTCCAATTTTGTCTGGGATATGGTAAGCATAGGTCTGCTATCTTATGAATTTCCATCAGGGCATTCGTGATAAGATAGAAAGAGCCCCCCTGACTGACCAGGAAGTGTTCTAGTTAGTCTGAAAATGTACGAAAAAGAGAATGGGAGAGGCAGTTACACACGTCCATGACACCATTGGTTACAGAACTGATTTTAGACCAGTGAGAACATCTGGGTGCACTGACAACAGTTATTACCACCACTACTTAATTTCCTTTCGAAAACTTTCCCAAGAAACACAGAAGTGGAAAGACCTTACTCAAAACCCCAAATCAAGTAACTTCTCTGATAGATTTTACTGTACTGAGTCAAGGTCTTTTTTTACTTCACCAGCAAAGCCAGCTGTCATTTGAAAGTTTCATACATTTTATCAGCAGCTTGTGCATCCATTTCAAAAGTGTTTTCATGCCTGCTATATTACTTCTATTTTGACCAAATATGGAGGCCTTCAAAAAATTTTGAAGTTCTTTTTTTAAAATTAATTAATTTTATTGGTACATTTAAGGTACACGATATAATGACATTCATCATTGGAAATTTGCACCTTCACATAGTCCATCTTGGTTCTTATTTTTTCCCCATTCCTCTGCCCTCCCTTCAACCCCTCCACCCCTCCCTATCTACAAAGATGTTTTTTCCATTTTGCTTTTTCTCATGTTAATTCCATTCCTGTCTTTCTTTTCCTCTACCCCTTCATTTCCCCTTCCCCTTTGCACCTTTTTTGAAGTTCTAATTATTGTAAACTGAAGGTGACTGTAGCTTCCTATGACTTTCATTGATTTTAAGCCACTCAGAGCAGATGTAATGTTTATGTGTTTAAAAACAGCTGTCACTTAACTGAAGTTTTCTACAGATGAGATTATATATGAAAACACACTTTGTAATCTCTGAGGCACTGTACAGATACAATGATGGTAGAAATGCTCATGACAGCTGTGCTAATACCAAGCCTTTTATACTTGCCTCCGTTCCAGTGTGATTATCTTCTGTGGCTGCACTCCATGTTGTTGAAGTCTCTCTTGAAACACAAAGTATAGAATTAACCTAGACTGTCTGATCTGTTAAGAGTCTAGAGAGAGTTGACTTTTACCCATGCTTACTACTGTATCACAGAAGGGTACTGCATTTTAGACTCCATAATGTCTTCTTGACAGCTTGGTAAATTTAGTCTGTTTCATTCTATGCTAATGTAATTGGCTTTTTTTAAAAACTAAGCTTAATATTCATCTCTGTTAAAGTATATCTTGCTTACTTGTTTTGGTTATATCTTGATCTATTAACTCATTTATTTAAAGTACACTGAGTGCTCATTATATGTTTGACAACACCAGATAGGAAACTCAGAGATGAAAACATGAGTCTTTGATCTCAGGGACATCACTTACATTTTAATGGATTGTCTATGCCTCCCTTCTTTAGAGTCAGAAATTTGTAAGCATCTCTTCATCTAAATTGATAAACACATTGAGTGGGATGTGACTGAGGCAGAGCCCTGCAGTCCGAAGCTAGAATTCTTCTAACAGCTGAAAAACCCACTGTCACTTCCCGGCCTGTGCTTTTCTCTGCCAGCCATGAATCTCATAATTGTCCCATGGCCAGGTCTTTATTTCTGCATTTTAATGCTTGAAGCACTGTCAGGACAGACTTTACAATTATTCTCAGTGTGATGAAATAATTCTGACATTCATGTTATGAGCGCTTACTTCATAAACATGTGAGATTGAACTTGGGCAGACTGTAATCTAGCATTAATGATGAAACAGACACAGTCATTTCTGGGAAGAATAATGGAAGCTTATTTGCCTCCTGTGAAATTGAAATTACTCTGACTGAGAATTCATCGTTCAGTAAGTTTACTGAGCATGACACCTTGGCTTAGCTGTGGGAAAGACGGAAAGGGCATGCAGTTTATAAAATCAGCCAAGGGTAAAATGCTTGTCAAAATGGATTGCTCAGTATTTTGATTAATAGCTTATGTGGCTTCATTAATTCAGAGTTATTCTTTAGTATGTATATCTGTCCTTTCTTGTCTGATGATGGTGAAGACTTGAGATGTATTGTATATTTGACTTAGGGGTCAACTTTATTTCTTTACTTTGTCTTTTAGTGCAATTATGTGGTTCCTGCCACACTGGTCATTATCATCTTCATCTGCTTCCAGCAGAAGTCCTATGTGTCCCCCACCAACCTGCCTGTCTTAGCCCTTCTACTTTTGCTGTACGGGTAAGGCACCTTTGGGTAGGGGACTCAGTGGGAAAGGCACATGGTACCCAACGTCAGAGGGAAGGCAGGGGACTCAAGTGAACCTTTATCTTTGTGCCTCACCAGGTGGTCAATCACGCCTCTCATGTACCCGGCCTCCTTTGTGTTCAAGATCCCCAGCACAGCCTACGTGGTGCTCACCAGTGTGAACCTCTTCATCGGCATCAATAGCAGCGTGGCCACTTTTGTGTTGGAGCTCTTCACCAATAATGTGAGTTCTGCAGACACTTCACCTCCTGCTGACATGAGTATTTCTGGTGCCAGAGGACAGGGATTAATTGTGATCTTATTCTACTTGTCTGTGGCATGAATTCTGCTGCCTGCCCTGTTCTTTTTCAGACTCTGCCTGAGTCTGTACAGTGACTTTGTCTCCTGCTCCACTTTTGTATTTCTCTGGCCAAGTCTTTCAGTTTGCTTAGGCAGGTTCTTTTTTTTTTTTTTTTTTTTTTTTTTTTTTTTTT